GCTGCCCCCCCCCCGCGCTGACACGATGGGACCCGCGTGTAAGGTAGCGAGCCTCATCTTTTACGGGGCCACCGCGGAGCTCGGTCTTTGAGCTTCGGGGTCTGCCCCCTGGCAGCCCTTGTGAGAAAGGAGGGCCGCATCACGTCCAAGCGCAAGGGATTTTGGCAATAGCGCGTAGATCACCCGTGTCGGTGCTCCCATGTAACCCCCTCATGCGGATGTCCTTGTCCTTGTCATCTTCCTCCTTCTCCTCCTTTTCATGCTCTTCCACCTCTTCCACCTCCTCTTCCTCGTCCTCCTCCTTCTCCTCCCCCTCTTTTCCCACTCCTCCTCCTTCTCCTCCTTTTCCTCCTGTTTGTCTCCCTCCCCCTGCTCTTTCTCCTCCTCCTCCTCCTCGTCCTCCTCCTCCTCCTCCTCAGATTCGCACCGCGCGACGGTTCCAGGAACGTCGCCGGTGTCCCTGTCACGAGCTGACACCTAGCACCCATACCCGTGTGACCTTCAGATTCGTCGGGATGGGCTCTGGAAGATCTGCGGGTGCGCCTTGCCGGATTGCGGACCCCTCTCGAACACGGGTCCTTTTTTTTGGGACCCGACAGCCCGCATGTAATTAACGCAGCTTCAGATCACGAGACGTGGGTCACCCCGTAGAAGTATGGAGGTGCGCTGTCCGCTCTTGCCATCCTCCTCCTCCTCCTCTTCCTGCTCTTCCTCCTCCTCCTCCTCCTCATTTTTGCTCTCTTGTGCCCAGCGCCGCGAAACAAAGGCTCGATCTCGAGTTTCGATGACCGATGCTCTGCCAAGACTTCTCTTCTTGTCGATTGGGGCCTCATGGAAGCCCCTCGTCGCCGCGGCCTGGGTCTGCTTCGAGGTTCTGCTCAGCCGCACTCCAGGTTGGGTCCAGGGCGACTTGTTGACCTGGAGGAGGAGGAGGAGGAGGAGGAGGAGGAGGAGGAGGAGGAGGGGGAGGAGGAGTCTTGTGCCGCCCTCCCCGCCCTTCCCGAAGTGAACCTGTTAACCGCCATCAATCTATAGATCGGCGACGAGCTAGGCGGGGTTTTGAGAAGGAGAAAGCCTTCTCAGAAGGCGGCGGGACTTCTCAGCAGCCCTCGCGCCTTCTGATGGTTTTTTTTTATGTCGTCGGGGAAGGCTTGGACACCTTCTCGGAAGGCCAGGGGACTTCCGAGCCTTCTGAGAATGCCTTCGCCTTCTCACTTCCCCCGTGGGCTTGCCGTTGAAGATACCCCACTGATTCGTGAGAAAATCGCAAGTTTTTGTTCCCTACCCGTCCTGTTGTGTTGGCTGCTCGTTCTCAAGGGGCATCGCCGCGCGTCGCCCGTCCCCCTCCCTCCTCCCAAACCCCTGCGGCTCCCTCTCGGCGCACACCCCTCGCGCGCTTCGAGGCCCCATGAGGAGCTCAACCGAAACACACAGAAGAGGGGTTCGCATGTGGTTCCTATCCATGCCGGCACGCCCCTCACGTGCTTCGTGGCATCATAGGAAGCTCCACCGTCGTCCCCAGGCGGAGGGTTTCGCATGTGGTTCTTGCCCATTTCGGCACACCCCTCACACGTTTTGCCATGGGGAGCTCCACCGAAGCTTCCCAGGAGGGGGGGGGTCGCATGCGGTTCTCACACATTTCGGCACACCGCTCACACAATTCGTGGCTCCACAGGGAGCTCCACCGAAGACCCCCAGGAGGGGGTGGTCGCATGCGGTTCCCACCCATCTCGGCACGCCCCTCACACTGCTCGTGGCCCCGACAGGGAGCTCCACCGAAGACCGCAGAGACAGGGCCCGCATGCGCCCCCGGACCCATTTCGGCACACCCCCGGCACGTTTCGTGACCCCAAGGAGAGCTCCACCGAAGGCGACATTCACAAGTGTGGTGCTCACAACTTCATATGGTTGGGTCCTTCGCCAGGACAGCTTCTGTTTGGCCTCAGGGGGCCCTCAACGGGCCCTGGGGCCCTCACAAAGCGGCTCAAGATGAAGCTCTGGCTAAAAGAAAGCGGTCGAGACCTTTGGGGAGCCACGCCGTGAAATAGTCGCGATGTCGGGGGTGCGGAGGGAGAAAAGAACGTTCGGGCGACGAAATCTATACATAGCCACTGCTCCCTGCCCAGGCCCATCCTGAACCCAGGAGATGTGTATACGCCCTCCTGGCTTGGCCAGGAGGGCGTGGCGTAGACACCGCTGCTGGGTTCAGGGTGGGGTTGGTCAGGGAGCAGTGGCTATGTACAGGTTTCGTCGCCCTGAACATGCAGATGCCGATGCCCCTCTCTCCTTTCCGCCTTTTGGGACTCTGGTCGCCACGGCCAGAGTCGCTCTTGGGACTTTGGTCAGAACGCTTCTGGGGAGACGCCCATCTTTCTGTTCCTCCAGGGAGGGGGAGGGCGAGCTGGGAGGGGGAGGGGGGGCGGGGAGGGGGAGGGGGAGGGGGAGCCGGGAGGGGAGCTGGGAGGGGGAGGGGGAGCGGGGAGGGGCAGGGAAGGATCCAGGCAGCCCAGACAGGGCTGGAGCAGCTGGGGTCCGAGGATCGCGCCGCATCGCCGATACACTGGCGATGCGGCTCGACCAGGATCACGATTTCCTCCAGGGCTGGGCCTAAACGTTGTTTTGCTGGACTTCGGCTGTGTTTTGTTTTTTCGCTTTGGCAGGGAGGTACAGGAAAACAGGTAGGGCAAAACGAACAGCAAAACGAAAACAAAACGAGAAACATCGTTCAGGTCCAGCCATGAACAAAACAAGCACGAAAACAAAACGAACAACAAAACGAAAACAAAACGTTTCCTCCATGCAGTCGTCACCGATGCATCGGCGATGTGGCGCGAGCCTCCGACCTACCTGCTCTGGCCCTATCTGCTGCAGCCGCATCCTGGGTGACCTCCAGGTGATCGTTTTCTTGTTGGTTTGCCGATCGGCGCGGGCCCTCGACTCGCACCCCTTCCCCCCGCCATGGAGCAGATCTTGGCTGTTTTGGGTGCTTCTTTCGAGCAGGTGGAGCCTCCCCCCAGGACGCACTGTTGCAAGCAGTCGCATGGACCAGAGTTCGGGAGCCAGCCGACTCGGCGCGGGCCCTCGCACCCCCCTCCCCCCCCGCATGCAGTAGATCCTGGCTGCTTTTGTCGCCTGCTTCGAGCAGGCGACGCCTCCCCCACAAGACGCGCTGCTGCAAACCGTCGCACGAAGCACGGGCCCCGAGCCAGACCCCCCCCCCCCGCCCCCTCCCCTCCCCCCTTCCGCCCAGTGCCGAAACGCCGAATAAGAACACGCTCCTCTGGGCTCCTTGTGACAAGCGGGGGGGGAAGGGGGGGCACCCCCCGACAGGGGGTCCACCTCGAAGCCCCCACGGAACGCCCCACGGGAGGGCACCCCCCGACGGGGGTCCCCTCCCCTCCCCGCCCAGGGCCGAAGCGCCGACGAAGGCAGCGCTTCCGCCGGAGGAGGGCCGGCGGGCCCGGGGCCAGGGCGCCCCGCTCCGGAGCCTGGCCGGCACGCTCCCGCGGAGAGCGCCCGGGGAGAGCGTTCTCTCTCGCCGGGCGGCCGCGGCGCCCGGCGCGGCCTCCGGCCCGGAGCTCACCTTGGGCATGGCTCGGGCGTGTGCATTTTCGGGGGTGGACAGACTCAGGAGGGGAAAAAACACACAGACACATTTAATCGTCGATCCCCCAGAAAATATGGGAAAGTAAGTGGGGGGGAAGGCAGAAACCCAGAAAATGTGAGAAAATGTGGGGAAACGTTTTACTTGTGTGTGTATTTCTTTGTGTGTCCCAGTTTCCCTTCACAGACCTCCGACCCGGACACGTCGACTGATTAGTGAATCGCGCGTCTTCGGCTCGCGGGAGGGCGTCGCGGCCCTCCTTTTGGCGGCGCCCGACGCGCCCTCCGGATCTCACCTTGGCATCGCTCGGGCGTGTGCATGTTTTCTCGGCGAGGACCCTTCTGGACGCCCGCAGGGGTATTCTGAGCAGCTCACGGCGGAGGCTTCCGTCGTTCTTGGCGTCGGGGGTCCGTCGCCGGCCCCTCGGGGCCAGAAAAACAGACGATCCGGGACGAAGCACGGGCCCCTCGGGCAGTGGCCCAGAGCTCCGGGCACTCCGCATGCACAACGTCAGGACGTCGGATCGGCACGAGCGAAATGGGCACAGAAAGAGTGGATGCGATGCCCAACAGCAGTTCCTCTTCGTGTTGAGCAGGACTCGCTGTCCGCGCCGCCGCGGCCTGTGTCCATTCGAGGCAGAAGGCCGCCTGCCCAACAGCGGCCGCTGTTGGCTTGGGACAACAATTGCTGTTGGGCATTGTACCCATTCTTTCCGTACCCATTTCGGGCGTCCAAAACCATCGATGACCATCCTGGGCCATCGAGCAAAAAAACACACGCACGAAACCGACAAGTGCACGGGAAATGGACGTCCGAGCGACGGCAAGTCACCGAGTGCGTTCCACTGCTCGCAGAGTGCCTGCTCGCAGACGGCAGGAGAAAGCGTCAGCAGTTCTTTTGCGAGCAGTGAAGCGCGCTTGTCCAAGAGGCGTCGGACCTCAGAGGTCCCCCCGTCGTCCAGGCCCTATTTTGTCTTGGTCGCGGCGTCGTCTTGGAGGATTTTGGACTGCGCCGCCGATGAAGCGCACAGCCCGTCAGCAAATGGTGGCACGCAGCTAGCAGAGACCATTCGGTACAGTCAGCTGGCGGCACGAAAAAGTCGAGAACGAGCACTCTGCACGGGCACCTAAGGCTTCAGGACAGTAAGTGAGCCAGTAAAACGTTACACCGTGTTAGCATCGGCGGCAGCGACACAAGGCGCGGGGCGGTCCTGATTCGTTGCTGGCGACGCGACCCCGGCCACCAGGTCCGTCTTGGGAGGGGGAAGGGAGGTGCGGGGGCTCAACTCGGTAGGAGCGCCCAGCACTGCTTCTCAGAAGCCGGTCGACGGCTGGCAAACCCGTGGCTGCCAAAACGGAGCTCCGGGAAATTGTTTTTCTTTCCGGGAAGCAGCCCGTGTGCGTACTCTTCGGTGCGTTGGGCGTGATTCCGGGATCTTGTTTTTGTTTTTCTTCCGGGAAGACCGTTTTAGCAGCCACGGATTTGCCAGCCCTCGCCCGGCTTCCATCGGCATTCTCAGGGTGGCGCGCGTCGGCGCTCGGGGGGCAGCGTCTCCGCCGAGGGGCCGTGCCCCAGACCGGGCGCGCCGCCCTGGGGGCTCAACGGTGCGGCCGCTGCCGACAGCACACGCTCGGCAGGGGCTGTGCCAGGCACATCGCCTCACGCGATGCAGCGAAGGTCGAAGAAGAAACAACGGCCTAAGCATAAGCTTGTGGCGCTCCGCGCGGATTTCTGGAATCCGCGCTGGGGCCCCCCGGCGGCGCCTCCGGCGCTGGCGCAGACCCAAGAAATCCGTGCGGAGCGCCAGCAGTTTGCGTTTATGGCGTTTTTTCTTCTTCTAGGAGAGTTCCGCAGATAGCGTGCTGCGTTCATTCGCTTCCTCGCCCTCTTCCGCCCATCTCGACGCATTGCCCCCCTCTTCCTCTTCGGTGGTCTCGAGCAGGCAATGCGCACTGCTGGAGAAATTTCGCGCGGCGCTGGGCCAGAGGTGGGTGACAGGATCTTCACGTGGCCTTGAGCTTCTCGCCGCCGTGCTAAGGTGTACGCACACCAGCTCGTAGTCCTCATGCTCAATGTCTCCTCCTCCTCCTCCTTCCTCCTTCTCCTCCTCCTCCTCCCCGTTCCTCGTCATTGTCCTCATCCCCTCCTCTCCTCCACGTCGCCACCAGCATCTGTCCTCTTCACTAGTCTCCGCCTCCTTCTCCTGCTCCTCATCCTCCTCTCTTCCCCTTTTTCTCTCTCTCTCTCTCTCTTGTCGCCGTTGTTCTTCTTCATCCCCTCCCCTGAATACGTTCCCCCTCTTATTCCTCATATCATGATCCTCGTCTTCCTCCCTGCTCCCCATCGCTCCTCCTCATCCGCTACTGGGTCTCCTGTGCGTCCCCCTCGTCATCCTGCTTCTCGTCTCCCTCCTCTTTCTGCTTCTCGTCCTCCCTTCTCTGGGTCCTCTGTCGTCTTCGTCCCCGTTTTCCTTACCATCCCCATGCTCTCCCTCCTCCTCCTCCTCGTCCTCCTGTCGCTGCTCTCGGTAGCCCTTGTGGCACAGGCTGGCTCAACCACGGTGCGAGCACTGGCCCTCGGGTGACGCGACCTGTCAGCGTCCCTGCGGCGAGAAAGCGGAGCAGCCCCATCGGCCGCAGCGACGCGGGCCTGCGAGAGTGCTGCGGCTGCCGCGCGGCTCCCTGCCGCCCAGGCTGCGCAGGAGGCGCGCAGCCGCCCACGGCCGCCGCCCGTGCTGAAAGCCTTCGGCAGCCTCCGCGGCGCCCTGGCGGCCTCTCGGCGGCCCTCGGCGCCCCACGGTGCAGACGAAAGGAACGCCACGCTGCGGCCCACGCTCTCGGCGCGAGGGCCGTCGGGGAGGCGCCGCGGCGAGCGCGGAACGCCCCGCCCAGCGCCGGCACAGCGAGCCCCCGGGGCCGGCGGCCTCTCCGCGGCCGCCGTCGCGCCATCCCCGCCTCCGCGGTCCCGGCCTCGGCCCGCCCGCCGCGCCGTGCGGCCGCCGACGCGTGCGAGGCAGGCCGGGGAGTGCACGGAGGCCCTCTGCCTGCGCTGCAGGCCGCGCCGGCGTGCAGAAGCGGAGCCAGCCCTTTCGCTTACAATTGTGATAACTTGTGGGAGATGTTGACATTTTTTCAACTTTGACAACTTCGCAGTTCTGACAGTTTTGACAATGTGGGGGATAGATTTTGAAGATTGGGTGCTTGTGTAGGTCGATGGCATCCTTACGCGCCCAGACTGGCCTGAGCAGGTGGCGGTGACGGATGAGCAGGGCGACTGCCCATGAGCAGTTTGTCTCGGCCTTTGTTGGATCGAGTGGCGCGGCAGGTTGTTGAATATTGCTATAAGCGCCGCCCGGTGTGGGGGCACACGTTGGCTTGCATCGTGCCGCGGAGTCTCGCTGACCTCACTTCGAAGCGCTGCCGCATCAGAACCCATTCCAGGAATGCGTTTTTTTGGGGGGAGGGGGGGAAGGGGCGCGTCACCCATCATTTTACCATCGCCATAATTATTCTCCTCGTCGTCCCCCCCTTTTCCTTCTATTTCCCGCCCTCCTTATTCCCACCTTCCTTGCCATCGTCCCTCTCTTCGCCTCCTTCATCTTTGTTTTCCTCGTCCTGTCGTCCGCCACAGTTTCCTTCTATCTCTCACCAGCCTCGCCTTTCTACCTCTCCCTGCCCTCTCCCTCCACTGCCCCCTCCTCCTGGCTCCCCCCCCTCGGCCCTCCCAGCCCTCCTCTTCCTCCTCCCGCCTCCGCCTCCGACTCTTCGTCCGTCTGTTCCTCCGCTTCGCCCCCCGTCCTTGCCCACTCTTCGCCTCCTCCCTTCCTGACCCTGCTCCTTCCGTTGCCCCGCATGCTCACCCCGACCAGCATAGCGGGCTTCGCCGGTGCACAATTCGTGCGAACCTGTGCATACATTGTCGTGGTGGCTGTGCACGCGCACCCTGATCGTCAATGCCCTCGGTTTGAGGGTGGATATGGAATCGCGACTGCCGGTCGCTGATGTGTGCCTCCACGTTTCTGGCGTCAGCCACCTTGAAACACGGAACAAGTCTGTAAGGGGAGATCCCGAGAAAATAGTTTCCGAAGCGGTCGTAAGTTCATAGCCTCAGCCTTGGGGAATTTACCATGACCATCGCCTGGAAGCCTATTAGAGCTAGAGCTCTCTTGGGGCCTCTCTGGGAGCTGTTTTTTTGGCCCCCTTCGGGGACCTTCGGGCCCCTCGGGGCCATTCTGAAGGCCATCAAGCAACAGCTGGCGCGGGGCCGACGAGCACTGCTCCTGGAGCCCGAGTTATCGCTCCTACAGTCAATCCGCATGGTAAGGATGTGCAACCTTCCCAAGGGTACCCTTTCACCCACCCTTGCCTCCTCGGCCCATCCTGGGCCGCGTTCGCTGGCCGCGCTCTGCTCGCAGAGTGCTGACATGGCCTTCCAAGGCCTTAGCATTCTTGTCGTGCGTCCTCATGATGCGGGTTGACTGTAAGATCTCTCTTGTGACGCTCTTGGGGCGCTCTTGGGCGTTCTTGGGGCCGTCGTGGTGCTCTTCTGAGCCCCTCTTGGGCTCTCTTGGGCGATCTTGGAACCATCTTGAGGCGTCGGAAGCTCATCGGAAGCGAAAAGGCGAGAAAGCCAACATCATTGAAACCTTTGAGGCCGTTGAATGATTTGATATGATTTGGGGGTCTCCTTCGGATGCTCCGTGGTCACTTGGAACCGTCTTGGGGTGGCCTTGCGGCATCTTGAAGGCATGTTGGAGGACATCCTGAGCCATCGGTGAGTATCTTGAGCTATCTTGAAGACCATCTTGGGCAAACTGGGGCCCTCTCGGAGCCATCTTGGGCCATCGTGTATCCTCGAGTCCCTCGCGCCCCTCCCCTGTCCAGACCGTAGGGGTGGGTGTGGGGATGGCGGGTGGAACCACTCCCCGAATGGGATGAAGGGGGTTGGACGAGGAAGCTCTCGAAGCCACCTACGCCAGAGAGCTGGTGGAATTTACATGAGGACGCTTCATACTGACTATATTGTGCCTCAACGGCACTATCACGGATAGGTATTGTTTCGCGCCGTCATCGTAAGTGGTCATGAAGTCGGCTGTTGTTGTTGCTGCCGCCTCCCAAGCAGAGGATATGATTGAGTGTGGAGTGTGCGTCCATGCAACGAGAGTGTGGAGGAGGGCTGAGAGCAGCGAGCGCTGACGTTTCCAGAACACTTGTATTCTGAGGATGGCGGCACGGCAGCTTTGTTTGGAAGCCGCAGTGCTCTGGCACCGTGTGCTCACCCCTTCTGACCCTGCACCTCCTGGTGCCTAGATGGTTGGGGCCGAGCCGTCAGAGCATTTCAAGCATAAGCTGCATACTTGCATGACGAGCCAACGTTTTCCTCCAGCGGTGCTGCTGTGTTGAGCAGTGCCGTGTCTCAGTAAACTTTTGGCCACCAGGTCTACGCTGAGCGCCACGCATAACTCTCCTCTCAGTGTCACCGTCCTTTCTCACCAGATGCGCGGAGGAGAAGAAGAGGGGAATTCGGGGGGGGGGGGCGGGGTATAGGCCGAGCTAGGTGCGCTCGCGTCCCATCTGACGTCATACCTCGTCCTCCCATCCCTTACCATTGCGTATAACTCTTTTTTATCGAAGTAGGACACAACGATCCCCAAAGGGCACGCCATGCACAGCATGGCCCAGCATTGCGTAATCAAGCATTGCATATTATAGTATCGCAGCGCAAGGCATGTCACCGCATAGCGCACATAACATAGCATTGCATGCCATGCCATTGCATGGCATTGCACTGCGTAGCCCAGCGTTGGCTACCTCAGCATTGCAGAACAAGGCAGATAATCGCTTCATAGCGGTGCATAACAGAGCATTTAATTGGATACCATGGTTGCATGAACGGGGCAGCCATAATCCCATGTTTGAGGACTGACAATTTGGGGATGAGGCCAGTGTTTCAGCGGGAGCACCATTCGGAAGGACCGGAGAGGCAGAAATGATGCTGAAGCTGCAGCGGGAGCACCATGCGGAAAGATCGACAACGCAGAATCGAGACCAGCACAGCAGCGAGAGCACCATTCGGAAGGACCGACAACGCGGAAATGAGACCAGCGCTGCAGCGGGAGTATTTTGGAAGGGCCAGAAGCGCCGAAGTGATGCCATCTCTGCAGCAGGAACACCATTTTGAAGGACCGAAAGCGATCGGATTGGAAACTCACCGTCGTATTGGAAACCAACTCACCCACATCAGGTGTTCGAAAAGAACATGCGGAAGGGGGGCGGGTACTCTCAGCACACATTCGGGGGAGAGGAGAGTAGTACTCATATTGCGTAATTTGAAAGGTGCCCACGGAATGGATTGCCCCTACCCCTTTCCTGTTTTTGAGTGTTTGTTTCTCAATTCGTGTTGCTAGGCTTCACGGCTCAGATGGTCTGCTGGATTTTTCAGTTTCGCAAGTTTGGCGGAACCAAGCTCGCTTGACATTGTGCATACAATGTTTTCGTCATTTGTATTTGTGTGTTGCGTTTTGTGTTCAGACCAGTCTCCCGTGTGGAATTTCAATCGAAATCAGTGTTGATCTCAGGGATCGTGCCCTCCCCCCTCCACTTGTCCCTTCCGTATTGTCTGCCGCACCAGGGCGACCCGCAAGATCCCGGCAGGGTGTGTCGGATCCCAAAAGGGACGTCTCGGGGCTCGAGGATGGTGCGTGCCAGCTCGAGGATGGTGCGTCATGGGGCCAGGCAGTGTTGCGTCCCATGACCGTGTGCCATGTGCATTCCGAGCGCGCCAGCTCCAGGACCCCTATCCCGGGAGGGAAAAGGTGTACCGATGGCATGTCGCCGTTGTGCCGCTGACGCATCGTACTCAAAGCCTCGGAGTTGCCGATCCTGAACGATCATCACCTGCGCGAGCCCTGGCGCGGGCGTCGCGGCGCACAGGAAGCGTGAAGACATTGTCAGTGGGTGCCAAGAAATTGGGTTGGGCGTTGTTTGGTTGTCGCTATAGTGGTGCGCCCCAGGAACGTCCCAGGTGCATTCCGTGCGTGCCAGCCAGTAGGTCCCTGGCGTTGTTCTTCCGGTTGCGCCCGTTGAATACATTGCCGTGGTCGGACGGAAGATGCTTGGCAGCGTCGATCTCGTTCTGGAGAGCTTTCTGGAACGCAGCCTCTCAGGAGGAGGAGGAGGAGGCAGGGAGGGGGAGGAGGATGAGGAGCAGGAGGGGGTGGGGGGAGGAGGACGAGATGAAGGAAGAGGAGGAGGAGGAGGAGGAGGAGGAGGAGGAGGAGGCAATAGGGAGGAGGAGGAGGCGGAGGAGGAGGAGGAGGAGGAGGAGGAGGAGGAGGAAGATGAGGAGGAGGAGGAGGAGGAAGAGGGCGAGGAGTGAGGAAGTGAGGAGGAGGGAGGAGGAGGAGGCGGAGGAGGAGGAGGAGGAGGAAGACCCCCCTGGGAGCCGTGGGGCGTGTCCAGGGGCCAGGGGCAAGGGTCCGAGCAAGAGATCAGAATGCGGATGCGCTTCAGGATTTTCCGCGACTCCCACGCTTTTCGGACGCAACTCCTGGGAGGTCAAATTCTAAATTTTGTCCTGCCCCCTCCCCCTTCGCGTCCGAGGAACGTCCTGGATCATCTCGCGAAGAATAAATACACGCACGAGATCGCAACATCCTCGGGGGAATGGACGTCCGAGCTATGGCAAGCTGCCCGTCGGACACACCCGCCCGCCCATCCTTGCGGTGCCCCGAGCGCCCCGAGAGTTGAGATGCTCGAGTGTCTTTTAGCCTTGTTCGCCGGGAAGAGTTTTGGATGCAATCGTGAAGCGGCTCATCCCTGGACCGCTGGGAACGTTCAATTCGTGTTAGATTAGTCGCTCGTTTGTTGTGCGTCCTGGTTCTCCTCTGAAGGGCCTCAGAAATAGCAGCACGCACTGATCGCACAGCGTTATAGCACATACGGTTTGGCGACATTGTGAGGTATCGTTTGGCCATCCCGCTTTCTTACATAAAGGGGCGACGACACTCCCGTCATGCTGCTTCGGATTTCTTCGGCCTTTATGCAACGGGAGGCTACGGTCTTGAATGAGGGTACATGTCAAGCGGGTGGGCGAGTGTAATGAGGCGGGTTGCTCGGGGGGATCGTTGGGGGGCATCGCGGAAGGAACTGAAGTTTAGTTCAGGCTTGAGCCCCTCTTCCTCGGGTTTCCATCGCTCCCACTTCATCTGATGCGCCTGCGGTGTCACTTTGGTCTCGCGGCTCTGCGGGCTGACCCCGCGGGCCAGCGGGCAGATCTCTTTCGCATTCCTTCTCATCTTTCCTGGCCTCCTCCGAGTCTCCTGCCTCCCGATCCCCGAGACCGCCGTTGCTCTAGCCTGGCCATCTTCCTCCATGCAGTCCCCCCACTTGTTTTTTTATGCTCTTATCTTTCACGTGCGTGGAGTGCCAGCAGACGACTTTGGGCGCGAAAGGCTTTCGCCTTCGCACATGTTCCCTCGTGTTTGCCTGCGTGGGCCCTGAACGATGGGTTCTTGCACGTATGTGTCACAGTATATGGGATCCAAGATGGTACGTAGTTATGGTATACATAACCCCATACCCAGGATAATAAAGTACCCCCCCTTAAGTCGTTAGAGTTTTTTATCGTCGGCCTAGAAGGGTTTCAGATATTGGCGGAGGGCGCGGAGGCCGAACTTTATTATCACTGGGACAATTCGCCATCGAGGTCACTTCCTTCTTATGTTGCGTTGTGTTGCTTTCTGTTTCTCTCTCTCTCTCTCTCTCCGTCTCTCTCTCTCTCTGTCTTTCTTTCTCCTCCTCCCTCTGGCGCCCTGAACTTGTTTATCGCTGGGGTTGATTATCCTGGGAAAACTAAGCACATGAGCTACACTACACGAGCAGATGAAAATTTTAATTTTCATTAAGCGCTTACAACTTAAATCTAATAAGTTTTCAACTTTGGATTTTTGCTTATACCTCCTGCTCTGCTTCTCCTGCTCTTCCTCCTTCTCATCCTTCTCCTGCTCTCCTCCTTCTCATCTTTCTCAAATAATTTGAAGGTGTCTCAAGCGAAACAGACAAATATGTCGAGGATGTCTCAAGCGAAACAAGCAATTCGTTGAGGGTGTCTCAACCGAGACAATCCTCAAGATACCTTTGGCTGTTTCCTCTTGGTATCTCTTTATGCTGGCTCTGGCGGGCAACTTCCATTATCCCCCCGAAAACCCCGAACCTTACTATCCCTGGTGGTTTATTCTCCGTGGTATGCGGTTACATATACATGTACACTTATATGTGTACACGCGCATCTGTGGTGCAATCTATGTGGTGCATCGGGCGGGCTGCAATGTATGTAGTGCAAGTTGCGTGGTGCGAGCATTGAGGTGCAAGCTATGGGGTACACGCTGTGGGAGGCAAGCTATGCGGTGCAGTCTATGTGGTGCAGCAGTTGGAGTGATATCGATGCGGTGCAAATGTTGCGGTAAACGTGACAGTAGTAGGTCGTGGGTCGTAGGTAGTAGTTTGTAGTCCTAGTCCTAGTCCTCGTCGTCGTCGTCGTCGTCGTCGTCGTAGTCCTCGTCGTCGTCGTCGGCCTCGTCGTCGTCGTTGTCGTAGAAGTAGTAGTAGTAGTAGTAGTAGTAGTAGTAGTAGTAGTAGTAGTAGTAGTAGTAGTAGTAGTAGTAGTAGTAGTAGTAGCAGTGGTAATCGTAGTAATAGTCGTAATCGCTAATCGGTTGGTAGCCTGTGTGCTTGTGCGCTGCTGTGTTGCGCTTGCCGTGCTGCTTGTGTGCTGCGCTGCCGCGTGCCTGATTGTTTTCGGTTGGCTGTTAGCTGCGGTGTTTCCTTGCTATGCTTGCGAGAAATTTCCAGGTGAGTAGATTCATGAGGAGGACGAGGAGAATCCTCCTGAGTATTCCTCCGCAGAAATTCTTCGAGCAATATCTGAAGCCAGGAATCAGTGCGCAGGAGATCTTCATAAAGGGGTCGAGCGATCAAGCGGTAGCATCTTGTATCAATATGTCCCAACCCACGTCGCTAAATCTTACGAGTCGGCCTCTGGCTATCAAGGATGGGGTATTCAAGGCAGAGGGATCAGCAGGTTTCACTGGAGGCGAAAGAGTTGAACACGGAGGCGAATAACATCAATACAAGTAAGGACGAGTGATTGATCGACAACATCTATGGTGTGTTGTCAGACTTGACCATAGACGTGTTGCACACACACACACACCAGCAAGGCGAGATTTCGAATGCGGCATTGAACAAATACATCCAGGACATCAAGGAGAAGCTCAACATCAACCCAGGCAGCCTACAGAGCACCAAACATACCGACGACAGGTCCAAACAGGTGGTTGCATTAATAATAAAACATCTTACGCTTAGACGAGTTGATTAAGAAGTTGGCCCTTGTCGAAGATAGCAGAGGACGCTAGTGGTTTGCACGCCAATGCCTTCAAAACCCATACAAAGATGGGCAGGCATACCTTCCTTACTGCATCAGATAAGGTGAGGAGCTACCCTAATGGTCAAGGAAT